GAGCGTGAGAGAAAGAGGGAGAGCCAAAGACAGGCAACCACTCGTCGAGCTAATAATGTTTGCGGCCATGACTTCAGCACCAATGCAAGCATTTGCCACCCATTTAATTTCAGGGGATAAAGTGAAAGCTCATATCATTTATCAAGAATTCAACAAAGAGTCTTGCGGAAATGTCAACCATGGCGACTGTAAGTGATATTTAAAGGTGGCGTTTCTTCTGGCAGACAATAAAAACTAAAGGGGAAACGAGAGAGGTATTCTTGTGCTTGACTTCTATTATTTATCATCTGTTGCTGTTCACCACTGTATAGTCGCCACAAAACCACAAATTATGAACTGCAGGAACACAGTTGCCAGATAATTTGTTCAATTATCCCAATGGCGGTAAGTACAGAAACGTGAATGCACTAGTTGGAAATTATACAGTCTTGAGTTGAGAGTGCCGTCCAACCAAGCAACATGAAAAACACCAGAACTTCCCTCTTGCCTAAAAAAAAGCATCAAAAGCACATCAGAATGGTGTCAAGCCGAATAGCCACCAAAGTCCAAACCTCTTACCTGCTTGGCTGGTTGCGATGCTGATGGCCGCAAACAGTCGCTGGGTACGGCTGAGGTCGGACACGCCGTTCACAGCCTCGACCTCAAAGGTGTAGTTTGCGTGCGCTAACAGGTCGGTGATGGTGACGTAGGTGTCCGTTAATCCACTCTGCTGTGGCGCGTAGCCAACATTGCTCCCGCAAGGAAAGCACTCTTCCGGTTCCCAGGTGCAGCGGCGGCATATAATCCGGTACGTCACGTCGTTACGGCCGCCCGTGTCTGCCGGCGGGGTCCACTCTAGGCTGACGGTGGTGTGGTTGATGTTGTAAAGCAGGTTCTGAGGTGCTGATGGTGGCCCTGTAGTAAGAAAAGAGGGGGATGCTTAGATAAACATGTGACATATTTAATAGCACTCGAGACAAAAACACCATGGAAATATGAAAAATCTGGGCCCTTGGCAAATCCTGACATGCAGTTATACCGTAACCTAGATGCATAGAGATGTTATGCTGAAGAATGCTGGGGAGTTGAACTTGAGTGCTACCAAGGTCGATGTAGACCAGGGATGTAGCAAAACAATGAAATGATGAAAAACGAGATACTGTTTCAAGGTAGAAAACCTTGAGATAAGACCGCCTTGGTACTCATCTACTCGATAGCATTTCATTACTGAGCCAGGGAGTTATGAGTTTCCTGTGGAAAGAAAAGAGGTGATACAATTGGCAAAACTATTTTTTTTTTATTGCCAGGGTGACAGGAAGTCTAAGCCATGGAAGACAGGGAGTCTGAGTCACTTCCAGAATTTAAGAGTCAGATCATGAGCAAGTTGTCGCCCCGACAATAGCAACAGTGCAGGATTCCGCTCAGCCTACAATAACCAGCTCACAGACAGATGACCACAGTGGAAAACAACCCATCATCCCCTAATCCCCGCCAGTGCCAAGGAATCTGGCGCGTCTCATAAAGCAATGATTTATACTTTGCTACTTTTATCCAACCACCAAGCCCTTGCTTTTATCACCCTGATGTTTTTATAACGGCACCGCTGTCTGTTCAATATCTCTTTTATTAGAACTCGTCTTTGTGATGGTCTTGCATCATGGGTTTGCCGTTTTGGAGAGGTTCGATTTTTGTACCTCAAAGTGAAATAGCGACCCGTACATGTCCACTGGTGTGGAGCTGAATAGGCGTTTTCAATCTGTTCTCTAGTGGAGCTGGGCTCACGAGAGGGATTGTGGGATTGACAACAGAGCAACTGGTGAGCATTTAAAAAAATAAGAAATGTTAGCAAGAGGTGAAAATGTCCACCAATGACGTCTCTCATTGGAATTCAAAATCTGCAGATAGTTTTTATTGGTTTTTGTCTTTTTGTAGTTTACAGATTATTTATAAAAACAGCTGTCCACAAAAAAAAATGGCAAAAGTAATCTAAATGTAAAAGTAGTGTAACTGAGTATGAAATATCATCCGATACAGGTAAATTAAATACCGTGGGCCAGCGTAAATCCAAAACAGCGCCGATGGGTGTGGAAATTTCTGCGATTGATTTACTAACAACTGCGCAAATTAAAGAACACAGACGCAATATCTCATTTACATATCGACCAACGCAATATACCAAGCGCAGCGCAAATTAGCGTAGTCACAAATAAAGAATAAAGAAATAAAGAAGCCACAGTATGTTGAAATGAGCTGGAGGCCAAAATATGAAGGTTTGCAAGAAGTTTTGATAGACCTGGTATTGCGTGACTCCTAGTTGAGGGTTCAAAGTTGTCTTTTATTTCCTGAAGCAAATTAATAATAACATGGCTTGGCAAAAGATATGTTCGCATAATGTGTTCTTCTTGCATTCCAAATAAATTAATACGTGTGGAAAAAATCCTCTCCCTTCTACCATAGAATCTATTCACATTCAAATAGGACATTTTTATTCTGTCCTCCATTTTTGGCCTACTCTGTAGTTTGAAAGACATGAAAAATGAAACAGGTAATACTGGCACTACAGAAAACAGGGCTTTACTAATATATTTTCTCAATCTGACAATAACTAATGACTAAATATTGCCCAGGGTGGCTGGTGTAATTGTCTGTTGTCAGTATGCCAGACATAATTACGGCCGGCTCTCACTTTGAGACAAGGGTCTTTTCCCCCGCTCTCTCTGTCCCTTATCTCGCTTTCTCTCTCTGCTCCTAACCTACCAAGGTGTCCGTGTGTCCTTGTGGCTCCTTACTCCAGCGAGTGTCTCTGTCACGATCCCTGTCATGAAACATACATCATCCCCTCTCCCCTTCCTCCTCGGCTCCGTTCCTCTCTCATTTTACTGGCTGCCGGTCATTATCGCCTCTCCCTCTGTGTCTCTTCCCTCATCTCTCTGTGAACACGTGCATGCATGAGCTGCTTGTGTTATCCTGTCACTGACCTTGTTTTGTTTGCAAACCATAAAAACAACAAAAATGCAAATGAGAGCTTGAGTTTTGAATGCAGGTGGTGAAACACTAGGGATGTACAAAACTACACACTGTCAGAATCAACGAGTCTGTAAGTTACCTGAATGACTGGATGACTAATTGGTCTAGATTAAAAAGAACCTTTTTTTTGTATTTCTTTGACAGTGTTTACATAAAACACATTCCTGCATTCCAAAAGAGCTGAACTAAGCACAACAGAATGGAACAGGAAGCAGGATTCTCGAGGCGCAACACAACAGCCAAAAATATCTGTCTTGAAGATCTTAGGTGCTTTACTTAGCATGGTGTTTAGATGAGAATAACATATAATAATCTAGATAAAGAGAAAATAGACTACATATTTAAAATATTCAATATTATATATTTTGCAGACAAAAAGAGATAAACTATGCAACATACCCTAGTGAAAAATAAATATACTACTATGTATTTATTTAAATATACTAAACTGGTATACTTACTGTAAAGTCAACTTATTTTGTGCTTAATGCACTTTAATTGTGCAGAAGTAGTGCTGAAGTCCAAATAAAGATATACTGAATTATATTTAATTGTGCTAAAGTTGAACTATTGCAAGTATACTTCATGTACACTTTAAATATCTAGCATTTAAAGACATATTTATTAAAGATCATACAATCCTCATCAACAGTGACATTAAAACACATTTAGGCTTAATATTCAGAAATGTGCAATGTGTACAAGTAGTACTCCAAATAAAGTTTAAATATAACTTTTATATCAGTCTCGAGCGATACGTCAATAAATGTTAATAGATTTTAACTAAGTATGAAATAAGTGCATTTTAAATATATTACTTTTTTACTAGGGTATTCATGTCTAGATATAATTATTACAAATGTTCTAGATATCTAGATAAACTAGTCAACATATATCTAGATAAAATATTATACAATTTCTAGATAAATTATTTATTATAATGATACATTTAGAAATATATAGAAAATAATGTATATTTTAGATCATATACAGTATATATTGGACAAAATATTTAACATATATTTAATATATATATTTAACAAAATAAATAAATAAATCTTGATAACCCAGTCAACACATGTCTACATAAATTATGGTGTTATTATTATTAGCAAGTGAAAAAAACTGGATAAAATACATTTATATTTCTAATATTATATATTATATTATAGATTTTGAATTTATTTTAGACATACATTATTTAAAAATCTATATAAACTAATCAACATATATGTCTAGATACAAATATTATATATTATCTAGATGAAAAAGTCAGCTTCACTAATCGACTAGTCAGTTGTTGGATGACTAGTCGATTAGTCAGCCATTGTGACCATCCCTAGGTAACATATCAGACACAGATTTCCTAAACAACAAAGACTCACAACGAAACAGTCAAATATTGTATGTGTGCACGTACAACAACACTGCAGTCTATGCGCTAGTTGCTGAAGCGCGGTGCTAAGCTATCACTGTCTACTAACCTCTTGTTAATGACCAGAACCAGTATGCATTTGATGGCAAATTGTATTTCATGGATGCTTGGGCATGAAAGAGAAATCTTGTTTTGCAGATCCATAAAAATAGTTCATTAAAAACATGCATTTCTCTAGCATGTGCAGTCTCAGAAACAGCTCTTAAATTATGGCCAACTCCCGAGAGAGCGAGCGTGAGAGAAAGAGGGAGAGCCAAAGACAGGCAACCACTCGTCGAGCTAATAATGTTTGCGGCCATGACTTCAGCACCAATGCAAGCATTTGCCACCCATTTAATTTCAGGGGATAAAGTGAAAGCTCATATCATTTATCAAGAATTCAACAAAGAGTCTTGCGGAAATGTCAACCATGGCGACTGTAAGTGATATTTAAAGGTGGCGTTTCTTCTGGCAGACAATAAAAACTAAAGGGGAAACGAGAGAGGTATTCTTGTGCTTGACTTCTATTATTTATCATCTGTTGCTGTTCACCACTGTATAGTCGCCACAAAACCACAAATTATGAACTGCAGGAACACAGTTGCCAGATAATTTGTTCAATTATCCCAATGGCGGTAAGTACAGAAACGTGAATGCACTAGTTGGAAATTATACAGTCTTGAGTTGAGAGTGCCGTCCAACCAAGCAACATGAAAAACACCAGAACTTCCCTCTTGCCTAAAAAAAAGCATCAAAAGCACATCAGAATGGTGTCAAGCCGAATAGCCACCAAAGTCCAAACCTCTTACCTGCTTGGCTGGTTGCGATGCTGATGGCCGCAAACAGTCGCTGGGTACGGCTGAGGTCGGACACGCCGTTCACAGCCTCGACCTCAAAGGTGTAGTTTGCGTGCGCTAACAGGTCGGTGATGGTGACGTAGGTGTCCGTTAATCCACTCTGCTGTGGCGCGTAGCCAACATTGCTCCCGCAAGGAAAGCACTCTTCCGGTTCCCAGGTGCAGCGGCGGCATATAATCCGGTACGTCACGTCGTTACGGCCGCCCGTGTCTGCCGGCGGGGTCCACTCTAGGCTGACGGTGGTGTGGTTGATGTTGTAAAGCAGGTTCTGAGGTGCTGATGGTGGCCCTGTAGTAAGAAAAGAGGGGGATGCTTAGATAAACATGTGACATATTTAATAGCACTCGAGACAAAAACACCATGGAAATATGAAAAATCTGGGCCCTTGGCAAATCCTGACATGCAGTTATACCGTAACCTAGATGCATAGAGATGTTATGCTGAAGAATGCTGGGGAGTTGAACTTGAGTGCTACCAAGGTCGATGTAGACCAGGGATGTAGCAAAACAATGAAATGATGAAAAACGAGATACTGTTTCAAGGTAGAAAACCTTGAGATAAGACCGCCTTGGTACTCATCTACTCGATAGCATTTCATTACTGAGCCAGGGAGTTATGAGTTTCCTGTGGAAAGAAAAGAGGTGATACAATTGGCAAAACTATTTTTTTTTTATTGCCAGGGTGACAGGAAGTCTAAGCCATGGAAGACAGGGAGTCTGAGTCACTTCCAGAATTTAAGAGTCAGATCATGAGCAAGTTGTCGCCCCGACAATAGCAACAGTGCAGGATTCCGCTCAGCCTACAATAACCAGCTCACAGACAGATGACCACAGTGGAAAACAACCCATCATCCCCTAATCCCCGCCAGTGCCAAGAAATCTGGCGCGTCTCATAAAGCAATGATTTATACTTTGCTACTTTTATCCAACCACCAAGCCCTTGCTTTTATCACCCTGATGTTTTTATAACGGCACCGCTGTCTGTTCAATATCTCTTTTATTAGAACTCGTCTTTGTGATGGTCTTGCATCATGGGTTTGCCGTTTTGGAGAGGTTCGATTTTTGTACCTCAAAGTGAAATAGCGACCCGTACATGTCCACTGGTGTGGAGCTGAATAGGCGTTTTCAATCTGTTCTCTAGTGGAGCTGGGCTCACGAGAGGGATTGTGGGATTGACAACAGAGCAACTGGTGAGCATTTAAAAAAATAAGAAATGTTAGCAAGAGGTGAAAATGTCCACCAATGACGTCTCTCATTGGAATTCAAAATCTGCAGATAGTTTTTATTGGTTTTTGTCTTTTTGTAGTTTACAGATTATTTATAAAAACAGCTGTCCACAAAAAAAAATGGCAAAAGTAATCTAAATGTAAAAGTAGTGTAACTGAGTATGAAATATCATCCGATACAGGTAAATTAAATACCGTGGGCCAGCGTAAATCCAAAACAGCGCCGATGGGTGTGGAAATTTCTGCGATTGATTTACTAACAACTGCGCAAATTAAAGAACACAGACGCAATATCTCATTTACATATCGACCAACGCAATATACCAAGCGCAGCGCAAATTAGCGTAGTCACAAATAAAGAATAAAGAAATAAAGAAGCCACAGTATGTTGAAATGAGCTGGAGGCCAAAATATGAAGGTTTGCAAGAAGTTTTGATAGACCTGGTATTGCGTGACTCCTAGTTGAGGGTTCAAAGTTGTCTTTTATTTCCTGAAGCAAATTAATAATAACATGGCTTGGCAAAAGATATGTTCGCATAATGTGTTCTTCTTGCATTCCAAATAAATTAATACGTGTGGAAAAAATCCTCTCCCTTCTACCATGCACTGTCTGTTCTCTGGGGTGCCTTCTCCTAGCAACAATAAATGCAGCCATTTCAAGTGCAAAATAGTTTAAGACAAGTTTTTTTGGGCGTTAAATAATGGCACAAATACCAGTAATTTGACAAGTGCAAACGTTAGTAAATCGCATTGCGTGATTCATTTTAATACTCTCCTCCCATAACTTTTGCGTCTGCACGGGAAACTCCTACAAATGCATATTCAATAAGGTCAGGTGCAAAAATAACTATGTCCACGCTTTTTCAGCGCTAATTCGTCCTGACAGTACTATTTTAATGCCAAAAGATAGTTTGCACTGGCGCAAGCTGTTAGTAAAACTGGCCCTGTATCTCTAATATGAACTGATAAATGATATGGTACCGGTATACTTTGCATATACTGTCTATATTGGGTAGTATACTTTGGGCATTCTGAAATAAAGTTTGCATTTTTACCTAAGTGATGTTGAGGTCATTTTGTCGCTACAAAACGCAAAGTCGTGTGTCGCCAGTACCGCCTGTCTGGGGACAAACTGGGAAAATTTACTAACAAAACACTCAATGCATATGAATGAGGGGAAAGAGCAAGCATTAGAATTGTGTGAATGGTTAATATGACACTTAAAGTTTGCTCCTCATTAAAGCTAATGGCACACACATCCATCCATATTCATCAAAGTAGGAGGGGAACGAGTGAACGGAGGAGATGAAAGGGCCACCTGTGGCAGGTGAAGAGATGTGGTCCATCTCTCCATCTCTCTCTTCTCTGTATCTATCTCTCAAGCACCAAGCACAACGTCACCTACTGATGCTAATGATGTCCCTCCTACTCCATTCCCCTCGGGGAGAGCCGCAACACACACACACACTCATCCTCCTGAGACTTTAGTATTCTATTTCTATGGTTACCTATAAGAATAAGAATAATAACACTAATGGCTCCATTTGGCAGGGCCTTCTCATTCTGCTCTTCAGTGGCAGAGATCAAGGGATTGTTTATCTTTAAATGGACAGCTGAGACAGGAAGGGACTCAAGTCAAGCTGTGATTGAGCATATCTATTCAAGCGACAAGGTAGCACTGAGATGAATCACTACTGGAAAGTTCCTATCGATTTAATTATTGCAAAATGTTAAATAAAAGCACTGTAATCTAATAACAATCCATGATGTTGTTCAAATTTCATGATTTGAGGCTTTGTGCGAAACTGCCTGGTCCGTCAATCACTTAATGCACAATGTTTTTGTATGAAGGTACGGTGGTTTCAGATGGCTTACAAGGCACCACGCCTGATCTAGATGTAGAACAAATTCATGTTTTAGACATATCCAAGCAAATATTTAAAGGGATAGTTCACCCAAAAATAATCCAAGCAAATATTTAAAGGGATAGTTCACCCAAAAATTTTAATTCTGTCATTAATTACTCACCTTCATGTTGTTCCAAACACGTAAGACCTTTGTTCATCTTCAGAACATAAAATAAGATATTTTTGATGAAATCTGAGGGCTTTCTGACCCTGCATAGACAGCAACGCAACTGCCACATTCAAGGCCCAGAAAGGTAGTAAGGACATCATTAAAATAGGCCATATGACATCAATCGTTCAACCTTAATTTTATGAAACTGCGAGAATACTTTCGTGCACAAAGAAAACAAAAATAACAACTTTATTCAACAATTTCTTCTCTTCCGTGTCAGTTGATGCACGTTCACGACAGTACCATGATGCAAGGTTGAACCACTGATGTCACATGGAAATAATCTTAATTTTGTGTTCCAAAGATGAACAAAGGTCTTACAGGTTTGGAAGGACATGATTTTCATTTGCATATGGCAAACGCATAATGAACTTTTTTTTTTTATTATTATAATTAAAATAGTATCATTTATCTCTTTGTATACATGGAATCACAATCGAACATTTGGCATTTATGAAAATATTTTCTTCTCATTTTTTTTTCTTTTTTTTTAAAGTACAGGGTGAAAACAACGAGTATAGAATGAAAAAGACTAAAGACTTTCCTGTCGAGTGTACATCTGTCGTCTGGAGAGTCCTGCAGTCATCTTTTTTTTTTATTCACTGTTGAGAGCGTCATCGTCTGCTGGTTAACAACAAAATGCCCTCCGAGTTTACTGCTCTCATTTGCTCTTTCACACACGAGTGCATATGTGTTTCTATATATGTAATCTGTCATCTCCTCTGCAGTCTGCTTTGAGATTGATTCTGCAGGGACACTGGAGGATGTATGGGGGAAACTGGGACAAATATCTGCCACAGACAGCTTGATTCTCTACACCACAAACCAAACTATTCTTTTAATGGGTATGAAGCTTGCTTAAAGCCTGTGTGCACTCTTTCACACTCGTTCGTTTTGCTTTCCCCTTGAACCTTCTTTTAAAATAAGTTTAACTTTATAGATTGTATAGCCTCAAACCGCCCACAGTCTGTTCACGGAGTATCTGATGAAGATTACACACAAAACTGCTAACTTCTCTTCTATTTTTTCCTGTGTTTTCTGTACAGTCGTTCACGGAAAGGGCCGTGCCATCTCAATGATTTTTTTCCACAGCGGTCTATTGTTGTGGTATAATCTATTTCAGATAAACCCGCCCTTAAATGGCGTGTAAAAACATAAAATGTGATTGATCGCTTTATATGCAGGTCTTGCCCTGTCCAAATAGGCTGTTCTTGGCTGCAATGTGGACCACACTTTAAGCCTTTAGTCAAAAGTCTGGCAGATGAGATTAACTGACATTTCTAACAGTGATTTTTAACATGTAAAGGAGCTGAATATCCTTCCAATCCAAAAAGTGAGATAATAAATGTGAAAAAAGATAATAAAATCATCTTTAAATTTAGAAAAATGTGGTCACGATTCTTACCCTTGCTGTTTTCCTGTGAGAGAATGTTAATTAGGTCAACCTGCTGATCTTGTGTGTGTGTGTGTGTGTGTGTGTGTGTGTGTATGTGTGTGTGTGTGTGTGTGCGTGCGTGTGTGAGGCCAAGCAGCACTGGAGCTTAACTCAGGAATCCAGTTGTTATCTGCACATTGAGCAGCTCTTGGCTGTCTTAGTGCTACTCCTCCTAGTAAAGGATAATGGACCCAAAAATCTTGTCAGTCACTCACCCTCAAGCCGTTCCAATCCTGTATGACTTAATTTTTTTCTGTGGAACACAGAAGATGAATCTTAACAAATATCCTATTTTCAATTTAATGAAAGGTAATGACATTTTTGTTGACAATATATCTTTTGCAGTCAATTTTGGAGTGAATAATGACTTAAATTTCGGTCTGCTTGTTACACAAAAGCAAAAAACATAGTATATACTCTTCCATTCAAAGGATATTGTAATGTGTTTAATGAAGTCTCTTATTTATTTGATCAAAAATACAGTAAAAACAGCAATATTGAGAAATATTATTATAATTAAAAATAATTGTTTTGTTTGAACATATTGTG